GACTAAACTAATGTTTTGAGGGCTGGTGTCAAAGAAGTTGTGTTTACTGACTACAGATCTCAAAATACACGCCTGGGATAAGGAGCAGAATATTTTGGCTGACAAAAGGACATTAACACTGGTATTTACTGAAAACACATCTAGTTGATTCACTATACAGTTTTCCTTTGAGGAGAAATCTAGCCAGTGTTGGTCATCAGCTCCAGCTCCTATCAATGCCATAGGGACTATAAAGAGTCTCCTGTCAGGTCTGAGTGATCAGCCTTGACAGCAGCAGGTGTAGGAGGATGTCTGTAAACCTTGTTTTCTCAGAAATGCACTTTCTTGTTGTACAGCCAACTCATAACACTGGAATCCCTCTTCTTTTGATGCACTTGCATATACGCTTCAGTTCTCAGGGCTCCTCAAGCTCAAAGGTGTCCCGCTGATTACTGTAATTCATATTTTCCCTGGCCAGCTCTGCATTTCTCTGCAACACCAACTTTAAGAAAACAAGGATCATTATTTGAGATCATTCCTTCAGTTTAAAACAAAGAAAGCAAGTACTACAGTTGAGTTGTTGGGAGAAATTTAAGCTACCTCTTATGCAACATTGGAAAAGGAGCATCTGGCAGGGAGGCAAGGCAGGCACCTCGCCCTGTTTCCTCACTCAGCCACCTGTGTGTGAGTTTTCACCATCCCACCTACTAAATGTATTCTCAGACGGGATTGGAAATGAAAAATATTAGCTAAACACAAGTACCAACATATGCCATTTTTCCTACTTTCCTTCAAAAACTTTAAAGCCGACTCTTAGCCCAAAATGCCACAGATAGATAACTGAAATTCTTCAACGATTATAAAAAGCCCTGATTACCCACAGGTTAAGTTTGGAAAATAGGGAAAGCCTCCTTGCAAAATCAGCAGTTAAACTTCCATTGGTTTAGATTTGAGTCAATTTAGGCCTTTCCACCCTACAGGTTGCCTGTGGGGCAATGATTTTTAGGAGATAGCAGTTATTGACGCTATTTACTACAGCAACAGCATCCACAGATGAATAATTCTTCCAGCTAATACACAGCAGCCTCTGCATTGATCCAAAGAACATAATACAGGGGTTTTCCCAGTACTTTTATGGCTGCACCATGGCCCAGTCGGAAAATCTGATATCCCAGATTAATAGACGTAAAATTCTACAAACACAGAACTTTTTTTTTTTTTTTTTTAACTAGGAAGGCAAAAAAAAAAATCCTCCAAAGCAAACAAACAAAACAAAACACATCAAATCTCTCCCTCCTGGCATGAGTATCTAATGTTTCTAGTGGCCTCTTTTCTGCTCATAACATAGATTGTAACATAAAAAAGCAATTTTGTAAATTGCTACAAATAATACATTTTGGAGTTGCTGATAAATCTAATGTCCATTCATGTATATGACAGCTGAGACACTATAAATAATTACTTTCATTTTTTTCTTCACCAGCACCGCTATGGGCCATACATCCTTTGCAACTCAATTCGAAACAGTAATTCTGGCTGCTGTATCTAATATCTGCCCATTATGCAACTGCAGTAGCTGTGCTGAAAAGAAGCAAAGTCTGGCGGAGAACTGTGATTCTCCAGTCAGAGACCACAGAGTCAACTATGGTTGGTTCTGGATCTGCTAAAGTCAGTAGGAAACCTACTGCAATCATTAAATAAGACTTTTCTGTCAGAATTCTGCCAGTGACTTTACCATTAACTCACCATGGGACCCTGGCAAGTTGTTTCATCTCCGTCACCAGTTCCCCTACAGTTTCCAAAATCCATCTTCCACATTCACAAGTCATATTCCGACAGTATTACTGCTTTTTAAAGCACTTTTATTTTTAAACTGGTGACTTGCACAAACTCAGCCTTTGTGCCTTTGCATCTATTTTGGCCAACAGCAGTTTATGGGAGAGCAAAGGCAGCCGATAAGGAGCTTTTGGTAAACTTCTTACAATACCATACACAGCTGCATAATTGCAGGGTTTGTGTTTCTTCAGTTTTCTCTTCTTTTTATGTGTCTTTAAAAAACACAAGAAAATCCAGGAAAACGGTGTAAATACATGAACATACATATGAAATTAGGACATATCATTTAAACAGAACCTACATGATCTTAGGATGATCATAATTGTGCTATATAGTATGAGCTGCAAATGTATATCAAACATGAACATATGAATTCTATCTTACAGTTCTTGTTAGAGAATGAAACAAAGCCCTAGACTTCTTACAGAAAACATCTGCTTCTCTTGCAGATTAATAATGTGTATGTGATCCAAGGGAGCTGGCCCCAGGGGAACCAAACTGACTGCAGTTTGGTTGAGAGCCAGAGCTACATTAAAAAGCAGGAAAGAATAAAGTTAACAAAACAGCATTGGGGAGGATTATGTAGGATTACTTGTTCTGTGAACCTGGACCAGTCTGGTTGGTTCAATGTATCTTAACACTAAAGGAGTTTCTACAACATTGTAAGAGCCTGCCCCACTGCTTAGCTTGCTATCCCATTGCTACCCACCTTGCTATCCCATTGATTTTACCAAGTCCAAGCTAACCCATTTCTCAGGCCTAGTGAATATATAAATTCGGGTTGCTAAGAGTTAGGATTGCCAATGTAGAAAAGGCAATCCTGAAAAGGATATATTGATTTTCTGACCAGTAAAAGCTGCTGGTGATTCCTTGTTCTGCAGCTCCTACAACATTTCTGCATAAGTCCCTTTTTCTGAACAGCTTTCTTGGAACACAATGTCTCTGTGGGAGTGCTACAGGTATACATTACATCACGCATCCTACCACAATAATCCTAGTTAAACCCCACAGAATAAAAAATTACATCCTAATTAGTTTATCATGCCCACCAAACCTCTGCCACATGTGTCTCAATGCCCACAGGGAATAAATACATGATAATCATTGAACAGTCTGTTATCAAAGCTTGGGCTGTCTTTAAGCAACAGATATATTCCAGGGATTTCCTGTTTGCGTCTCATTACTCCAAAGCAACTCTTCTACCATCAAACTCTGCTGTATGTGCTACAAATTTCTTTCAAGAAGGTCTTCTTCACATAAATAACCAAAACCTACTTGCTAATTTAATGAGAAAGCTGGTATACGTCTGCCAAAAAGTGCTAATACGTAATTTAATCTGATATACCATGTCTTGAATTTTTATTTTGCTAAGTCACTCATTTTCTGCAAGTTGTGGGCTAAATCAAGTATAGTGAGCATTCTCAAACACCTAGAGTACCAGGAAGCTTTTAAGCAAGCTGCATAATTCACAAATGAAACTAAGCACACCATGCTTTTGGGCAGCTTTTGTCATACAGCTACTTATGTATTCTTCCATTTAATTAAAATAAAGAACAGTGAAAAAAGAATCTGAAGTGTTAACACTGGATCCAGAATGAGTTTTCTGAATTAGGCAGTAGTGGATGAGATGAGGGGAAAAAAGTGTTTTCTTCCCATCTCAAATCTCATTTACTTTTCCCATGCCTAGAAGAAAAATAAAACTAAAATTTCCTATTTCTGGACATTCAGATAGTACATATCAGATTAGATCTACAGAGGTACAAAATGAAATATAATTTTTGGTGCATTATTCGTCTTATAGTTTATTGCTCCTGCAAAACAGGTGCATCTTCTGTTCAGCATGTCATACATTTTTCTCTTGGGAGAGTGGGTGGTTCTAGCAAAAACAAAATAAAAAGGAAAAAAAAAAAAGCAACACAATTTAATACTTTACTGTGCTAAAATAACCTACATTTTTCTTGACACTTCTGCAGAGTCTGTGACAGTGTCTGTGCGTTTTCCCTCAAGTTACAGTGATAATAGTGCCTAAATTGGACTGGAGGTTTTGGAAGGAAAAGCAACTTCTAACCCTCCATCATTCAGCTCATGTTTAAAGCCCATAAATAAATTGTGAATACAAAATAATTCAAAATCTGTAGGAGATGATTTTCATTCCCATACAATTGTCACAGTGTCAAAGTAAGGTGTAGCAACCTGAAAAAAAGCCTATGCCCGAAGACATCACTTGATACAGGAATGTGACTAGTTAAGCATACGAAGATGAAATGCAATCAGAATGAGGAAAGTTGCACTAATCTTTTTGAAATCAGCATTTCATTTACGTAGCACAGACGTCACTTGGACGGGGCACAGTCCTCAGTGTATCAAGTTCTGCAGGACAAACGCGAAGCTCACAGAACGGTGTGCCAGAAATGGACAACCACTTGCATGGGAAGTGTCGTCTCATTAGCACTGCCGAACAGTGCTCATGCTGAATACCTGCAGAATTCAGGCTCCAAAAGGCTTCCTAGGACAGTGCAAAGACCCCAACCAGAGCTTCCACAAAAACCTTGTTTCACATTATCACCCATTATGGCCAGCTGTGGAGTGAGGGGGGGAAACACACTAAATCTTACTGTCTTGCCATGTGTTTTCAATTCCTTATCCATAGGAAAAGCACTGTTAAAAGTTGTGGGAGTCAGTTACTTGTGGCAGATAAGTGTTGGCCCTTCCCCTTTGCTACAGCACAACCAGCAGGTCTGGGCCCTTCTTACCACTGCAAGGGCCAGGTTTTCAGCAGCTCTCAACGTGTCACTCAAACATCAACGATCCAGTGCATCAGCTAATCGTGAGAAAGAAAAACACACACAACCCCCAACCAAGGGGCTCCAACTACCTCAGTTCTATACTGTGACTTTTAGGACAAGTCTTTAAGCCAAAGGCTCAGAAAATGCCTAGGTTTACGTAGCAATGCCCTAAGAGCTGCAGCCCTCAGAAGGCAGAGACTTCACTTCCCTTTTACAGTCATTGCATCATCTCCCTTTTCTCCTTGTACTCTCACCCACGTGCAGGAATTCAGTAGCCTCTTGCCTTCCCTCACAGCACTTAAATAAAATTAATGTTCTGGGGGTTCTTGGTAGAACTTTTAAACCACAAAACCAGAAAAGTGGTGTCGCTTACTTCCTCCTTCTCTCTCCTCCTTGCAGCCCATGGGACCCGAGCGGACGGAGATGCACAAACGACACGTGTCTGCGGCCCAGGAGGCGCCAGGCCCCGCACAGGCCCCGAGCGCCGCGGGGAACCGAGGCTCCAACGCCTGCTGCTTCTGCTGGTGCTGCTGCTGCAGCTGCTCGTGGTACCCGCTCTTGTTCAAGCCTTGAGGAGAAGGGGAGGGAGGAGACAGGCAGCGTCTAGGACAACACGAGACAACTTCTTGTGCTATGTGGGGCTATAAGAGATGACCATTTTCTTGTCCCATGGGCACTAAGGGTTCTGTAGAGTCCTCTCCTGTGCCTGCCTTCAGAAAATCCAGGTGTGTTGTCCTCTCTCTGCTCACTCTGGTCAGTGTAGGTTCTAGTTACTCAGGCATTCAGCCCTGGCACCAAGCAGGTGCCCAGTATGACCCTTCTGCTCAGTAGTGTTTCATACCCGTTCTGCACAGGAACAAAGTTTGTCCAAGCTGCTCCCGTGAATTACTAAATTAAGCACTGGACTTGCAAAAGATACTTTGAAACAAAACCATATACAGATAAACTGTCTCTTCAAGCCCTCAGGTTTGATTTTGCCTCCTCAAAAACTAGTTAAGAGTTGGTCCAAGCTGTCAAGTGCCCGGTTTTCATTCCCTGTGTTAAAAGTCTCTTTTCACTCAAATGGGAAAGAGAAAAATTGCTTAGGTAAGTAAGGAGGCATTATCATCCTATTTTTTTTCCACAGGAAAGCATTATCTGGCAACGTTGAACAACTCACCAAAGCCACATCAGCAAACTGGTGAACATAAAATTTATTTGATCTCAGTGGTGTATCTAAGTATTGGTAGTGCTCCCAAAGCCTAAAAACTAATGAAAAATACGGAAAACGAAGAAGACGATCAAGGTATCAATATCCAGGTGATCAGGGTTGGACGTAATATTACTGTAAAAGCACAGTACTCCAGTAACTTCGGAAAGCTTTAGAATTTTCTTTTCCATGCTTGCTAGAACAACAATTTGCCACTGGCAAATTTAAACACTAAAAAAGCCAAAATACCACTACTGACACTACATATAAAATAGGGTCTCCAAATAATATAAATAGTCTTATGACATCTCTACACACAAAAGAAAAAAGAAAGAAAAACTTGCAAACCTCCCTCTGAAGTATTTCTATGCAACTCCAATTAACACAAAAAGGAGCTGTGCTGCCAATATGCTTTTGACAAGTTGATAACATATTATCAGTGTCATCTTACACAATACCAAAAGCAGTACTCCTATCTCAGAAATCAAATCAATTTTCACTCTCCCCCAAAAGAACTAAAAATGTTGTGTATTATGTAAATAGTTAAATGTCTATACAGCAATGTCTAAAAGCCCAATCACATCACAGTTCTGTTGTGCAGAACATTATATGAATGTGATAAGATGTCAAGAAAAGGCATCTTCACAAGTTTTCTACAAGCAGCAACAAATGAACATGATTGATTCACTTCAAGCCCATTCTGAGCCTACTCTAAGGCTACAGTTTTGTTTAGCTCAGGCCTAGGCCCATAGCAAATAAAAATTGTCTTTTTATTGTCCAAATGAGTACTCATAGCAGGTAACGTGTAAGCAGTTGAAGGAACAGACCCAAACCTAACCAATCCCATAGAGCTGGAGGTGGAAGGAGATGTCCTGCTCTTCTTTTTCTTTGGAGACAAAATGTGCAATTCCTCTTCCCAATTTTTTGCTTATTTCATGGTATCTTCCATGCCCACCTATGCAAGAACTGGTTGGTCTTGACCTTTTCCTCAAACTGCCAGTTCTCAGCTGATCTGCCAGCCCGCAGATGAGTGCACACACAAAACTTAAATTAATTAGAAGGAAGCATTTCCCATTGTGCTCTTGCACAAGACAAGCGATGCTGAGTCCAAAGCAGTTTTTAGCCACCTCTCAGTTGCTCCCCGCCACCTCCTGCCTCGCAGCCTTCGCTTCTGCTTCACTGCTGTGTGGTGGGAGCTGTTTGGCAGGGCTGGATGCTCCTCTGGCAGCTCTGCTGAACTTCATCAGGGCTCCAGGGAAAGACAAAGCAATACCAGAACATTTAAGTTTTGGATTTAGGACTGGGAAATACTGAACAGTATATATGTTAAATGGGGGTAGGAGTAGCTGAAAGAATTTGTAATCCAGAACTAATAACCGCATCTCCAGCACTTTTTTTGTTTTAATGACAAATTTACCTGATTACATTAATTTGTGCCGTCAACTCATGGCACCTGCTATGCATATGAAACTAATATCCCTGAGATTAGAGGCTTTAAACAGTGTGGGCATTATTTGCAGAAGACAAGGAATCATGCAGAACATAATTTACAGTAACTTACACTACAGGGCATTAAGGAAAAAAAACACTGGGGAAACAAAGCAAGCCAAAGGGAAAAACATTACTTCATTGCTTAATAAAGGAGTAATGCGGTTACCTCACACATCAACTTTGCCAGACCCAAGTGATTTCACTCAAAATCAAAGGTAAAACTTACCGTATTCAAAGTTTTGTGGCAATCTGGGTCTTTTACTCGTTAATGGGTGAGACCAGCATTTGCACTGAAATAAAGGAAAATAAAGTCTTAAAAAGCCACAGCAATCCAACCAAAGCACAGACAACAAGCTGAGTGCTTCCTATGGATGAGCTATAAATCTCTCACAAGGCAAAAGCAGCCTGGTCAATCCCTTGCTATTGGCACTCAGCTTTCAACAGTCAGCTTAGATAACCAGCTCTGCCCTTTCGAATGCCAGTAGTGAGTATGTGGCAAGGCCCTAGGGCACCTGGCTCTCTGCTCCTGTTAAGCTTTCCAGAAGGTGCTTGGAGGTGAATAGGTACTTAAGTATCTGTCTTAAGTGTCTGTCCAGGATCAGGGTTTGATACCCTGCAGAGTGTAGGCTAAGTTACAGCCTCAACCCCCAGATCCCGGTGCAGTAACAGAGCTCTTCACGTGGCAATCTAGAGCCGCTTATTTCTAATACACACATGTTGAGGGATAGAATTAGAGAGAGATTTATCTATTAAGAGAGAGTGCATAAAATTTGCATTTTATCATTTAAGTTGATGCTAAACCACTTTTTCTTCCCCTCCCTTTTCACCTATTATTCCCAAGGACATTTATTTTATGTACACCTTGCTATTTAAACTGTTTAAAGAAAGTAATTTAATCAATAGGGTATACAAAATTACCCAAATTTTACGATGCTTAACACTCCTATTTACAGTTCAGAATCTGATAACTATTAGAGGCTACAGGGCAGCCCATTTTAGCTTTGAAATAATTTGGTTTTGTTGTTGTTGAGAAGAATTGTTTTCTAGTAGCAAGACATGCAAAACAAAATGCAATTAAGCTATTTATATTCCCCATTCATAAAGCCTTTCCTCAAAACAGCTCGAGTACTTTGAGCAGAAAAAACATGAGCAGGAATAAAAATAACAACCTACATGAGTCATGCAGCTGATTGGAGGAACATCCAGCATTCAGAATCCTCCTAATAGTAGATTTCGGATGAAGAAGGGGTGAAATGAGCCTCACAATGTGGACGCTCAGACAGCGCTGGCTCCTACAGCCGCAACTCAACCTTGGCACTTGCTGCTCCGGCCATGCCGAGGAGGCGGCGCTGCCCTCACTCCGCATTCGTGGCATTTCCCAGGCCTTGCCAACCTGCCAGGGAACGTCCCTAGGAATGGCACGTTCTTCTGCAGAAAGCTTTGGTGGCTTCTTACGCCTTTCTCCACTCGTATTCAGCTTACAAAGAAGACTGCATTCCTTTCGTCATCTCTTGGCCCCCCTCACTCTGTGAAAACTCCAACAAACATGATGACAATATACTGGTATATTCACTACCCATGATATACTCATTTTTTCATATAAAAGAAAAAACGCCAGAATCACTGGCAACAACTATAGTATAGGACTGTGTCCAATATACCCCAAAAAGAATACAGCACTGCCGGTTTTTAACTGCTTGCTTTCTTTACTGAAAAGGTGAACTCAAATAGTTAGTTGGTTTAAATGTGTGATTCAGATCTTGCATAAAAAAAGAAATAGCTTACAGCAGGTAACATGATTGCTGTCCAGCTTGGTAACAGGAAAGGTTCCCCACCTTTTCAGTGCATGGACTCCCCTAGGCAAAAACGTCTCTCCTCTCTTGCCAACCTCCAGCCACTCGCCTTAAGCCTTAAAGTGTTTAAATTCTCCATCCCCCAGGAAGGTCTCTGCAGATTATGGACTAACACAGGAGCAAGCATGAGGAGATAACCAGTAAGTAGTAAGGCCACAAACATGACAAAGGCATGAGTTTAAGAAGAAGCAAGAAAGGGAAAAATCGATCGGTTTAACAAAAAGCCTTGTGATAGGTGAGATTACTAAGGACTAGAGCAACAAGCTTGCACCAAATAAAGGTAAGATAATAAATGGAGAAATTGGGTATTTTATTTTCCTAGAAATTATAGCAGGTGTATTGCTCTATTTCAGCGGGAGGACCCGGTTCATGTATGTTGTGGGTTACAGTTCACTTGGAGCTTTTCGTCCTGACAAATTTCAAGCAGCTCTGCACATTATACAGATCTATCCGGGTGCACACACAGGTACAGGTTATTCCTCACTGAACTGTGATCACCTATGGCCTAGAATATAGGCACCATTTCATAAAAGGAAATATGCACGGTCTGAAATTAAGCTTTAAAGAAGAAGAAACCTTAGTAGCTGAAATCATAAAAGGAATTTTTAATAACCTGAGAGAGTACTAAATTAGCATTTGATCAGAGCAGCAGGAGTTGACACCTACCCTTCTGAGGGACATCAAAAACATCTCTCAGTGATCACTAGTGACTGCAGCAAACATTGTATGCTACAAACACCAAAAACTAATACTCGTTTCTGGTCAGACATACTCAGTGATATTTAGCTATGATACATCTCCTTATGTTACATTCTGGGCCTTAGTTTTTTGAGGCATTTTCTCAGGGAGGTAATGAGCAACCATGCTATGTAGCTCTCTTTGCCCTTGAACTCTGGAGGATGTTTAATAGATCCAGCAGACATGTATAAAGCTCTTGCTTAAAACGTGAGCTCCAGTTACTGAACTCTGGCTTTCTTGCAACAGGGTCATCCCACCTGGCACCCGTCATGCCCTGCAAACTTAAAAAGTAGCCAGGGTTCACACCTTTCCAAAAAACTTTGCAGTCTAACTCACATAAAACCATTCCATCAAGCACACGAAATCCTGCCTGTACTACATATGGATTTGGTACCTGGTAAAGGGTACTCACAGATACAGAAATTAACCCTGAACAGAAAGCCTAGGGGAGACAGTCATTTTGAACAGTCATCAGCAATGCTAAAGCTCAAAAGACTTACAAGAGTGTAAAACTAGTGTCAAGAGTTTAACTATGCTCTTGTGGCTTCTCACAGCTTCTATTTCTTTAGCAGAATTTTGTAAAATATTAGAGGTGAAGCATCTGGTGTAGGTTCATTGACCTTTATAAAGTTAACTAAATTTTTGTCTTATTCCTTGCAGTCTTACTGTTAGAAATCAAGATGAAGAGAGAACAAGAAGAACATCCCATGAACTACAAGCAGAGGGTATTCCAAATTGTGAGGAAAGGTACAGTCTTTATTAAAAATTATATTAAGCTAAAAATGAAACAAAACAAAAACCAACAAACAAAAACACAGTAAATGTTTACAAGTTATCCAGGTACAGTCTTTATTAAAAATTATATTCAGCTAAAAATGAAACAAAACAAAAACAAAACCAACAAACAAAAACATAGTAAATGTTTACAAGTTATCTGAAATATTCAAATAGCTATTACTATCCGTATGTCATTTAAACTGAATTTGTGATCACCTCTCTAACTCATAAAGAGCCAAAAGGTTTGATCTATAATTTTTTTTATCTTATTTACATGCAGCATATAACCACACCACAACTTTCATAAGACTGCAGATCAAAGGAGCATAGTAAATCTCCTTTTTTTCTGAAATAATTTTAAAAATTCATCCATTTCCCACCCAGCAAGTATTTAACCAAGCCAACAGTGCTCAGCTTTACACAAAGAATAAATATAAGGGGGAACTGGGATCCCACCAAGTCACACAACTGTCGCTTCAGAATTGCTCAAACAGGTAGGAGCACCTGCAAACCACAACAGACAGGAAGGTTCCTTTTATATTTGCCACCATACTGCTTTCTAAATATCTTCAGTATTCAATATTTCAATTTTAACAATGATTCAACAAGGACTATTATGTATAGGGAAAAAAAAGGGAAAAAATCACTTATTAATCATAGACTTTGAGCAATAAACTGGAATTTCTGCATCAAAGCCCAGGCAATCATTTGTGTCTGAGCTTCTGATAACCCATTTTGAAACAGCATCTTACAACTATGTTAAGCAGAGTTTGCACGGGGGCAGTTCAGGCGAGGAACCTTGTGTTTCTGTTCCATCATGATGGCAGGCGCCTTCTGCCAGGTGGGAACAGCTTGGGCAGCCCTGGGTCACTTCCCTTTTCCTGTCCCCTCCTTCCTCCTCAAGCCCTGCTCCTACACTTGAAGAAGTCAACGCCTGGGCGCAGTCATTTGACAAACTCATGCTGACCCCGGCCGGCAGGAACGCTTTCCGGGAGTTTCTCCGAACCGAATTCAGCGAGGAAAACATGCTCTTCTGGATGGCCTGTGAGGAGCTGAAACAAGAATCTAACAAAAGTGTCATTGAAGAAAAAGCAAGACTTATTTATGAGGATTATATTTCTATCCTTTCTCCGAAAGAGGTACATTCCCTTCCCCAATACATTTTTTGCTGCTGTTTTGCACAGTTAATGCCACAAAAATACCCAGGGATAATTTTTCTCTGCATTCCACTGCTAGTAAGCATTTAGAAGGAAAAAAAGCAAGCTCAGCACTGAGGTGAAATGGTCAAAACTATTTTCCCTTGCTGTTAGAAAACTGTTCACATTGCTATCCAGGCACACTAATGTGAAGTCTTTCATCTGAAGCACAAAGGTAGAGACAGATGAAGACTTCAACCCTGCGCAAACAGATTTTATATGCTGGATACATCTTTTTTTCCCCCTTTCTACTAAGAAGAGGAAGGGGATGCTTTATAGGCACGGCAGACTCAGGAAATCTGTTGCTTGCCACACAGCACAAATAAATTGCCCACAGAACAGCTGACAAAATATATTTCAAAAACTCATTTCAAAAACAGTTCAAAAACTGACTCTAACATTTTCAAAGCTGCCTGTCACTTCACTGTTAACAAATAGGTCATGTTTCAAAGACCTATCAGTTCACAGTTTGAACATTATCCTACAAAGAGACCGGAATTTTAAACATTCTAACTTCCTTGCAAAATTCATAACTTACTCGATTGTGGGGCAAATGGTACTTGAGCAGATAAAAATAATGTTTAATCTAATCAGTCTGGCCCAGTAACGTTACTGTCTTTACAAAGACTATTGCCTTGCAAGGGAAAAAAAAAAAAAAAAAAGAGACCAAAAGACTGCACACATGGAAGCATTACATTATATAGCTACTTGATGTTTACATCCAATTTTTAACATAGGAACTTGATTAATTAACAGCTTCCTAGCTTACAGTTTCCTTTTGCGAAATAGTACTCACTCTGAATTCAGCCTCTTTACAACAGTACTAATTTCCATGGAAACCAAATGTCCCCCAAATTACAAATCCATCCTACTACAGAGCAGGAAATGGGTCTGGAAAATAAGATTCTACCAGGTTTTAGTAATAATGGTATTTCACATAGCATTGTTCAAAATAAGGTTTAATTTGTGAGAGAACACTTTTTTCTATGCTTGACAGACTATTATGACAAAGTTGTATTCAAATTTTAGCCATTTTTAGCCTATGCATATTTAATAATTACAGTCTAGAAAGGTGCTGCTTTTTCCAAGCCAAAAGAGATGGAAAGAAGAAAACGTGTACTCCACACTGCTACCATTTACCTGACTTTTTGTTTCAACATGCAGGTCAGCCTGGACTCGAGAGTAAGGGAAGTTATTAACCGAAACATGCTGGAACCCTCCCAACATACCTTTGATGATGCACAGCTTCAAATCTATACCTTAATGCACAGGGACTCCTACCCACGGTTTATGAACTCTGCTATTTACAAGGACTTGCTTCGGTCCTTAACTGAGAAGTCCATTGAAGCATAGGATTCTTTCTTAAACGTATTTATTTGCAAGCAAATGGAACTCTGGGCTACACCGATCAACAGGGAATTTAGAATTAACCTGATATTTACCTGGAAATATCTCAGGCAAGTTTTAATACAGACTGAACGTTTTAAAACTGCACAAGGCTCTGACACAGTTTCCTGGTCAAAGTAAGTATTACTTTGCAAAAGAGAATGAAGAGGAAGATAAAACATTTACCTTTAAAAAGTGTTTTTTTTTTTTTTCTTCACAATGCAACATGCAACTCAGACACAACTCTCCAAAAGCGACCTGTCTCCAAAGTACAATTACCAATTGAGCATGAAAACTAAATTTTAAGTGGAGTGCTGGACTTGAAAGTCAAACCACTTACGCCATCCATCTGTGACCAAAAAAACCACAGCTGTGCTATCAGCATCTGTGTTATCCTAGGCTGAGGCTTCCCATACGGTACAAGTTGTACTTGGCACAGGTACACTCCACTTGTTTTACAATATGTATTTAACATATGTAGTGGCCTAATGAAAATCAATATGGCAACCTCAAGTTTATGGAAGTTAATGGTTGTAATTATGCTGCCTATATATATAAAACAGTGACATTTTTTTTCCTGAAAAAAGTGTTATTTTACTACCAAGAAACTGCTGAAAGCATTTTTAAGTTCATACTGCTGATGTTTATAAATTATTTATTTAAGAGGAGAAAAAGTCTGGGCATTTAAATTCTTAAATAAAGCACAAGAATTCTCATGTCTTGTTCTCTTCACTCTCTGGGTAGATGTATATCGTATCACAGAATGCTTAAGGTTGGAAGGGAGGTCATCTAGTCCAACCCCCCTGCACACGCAGGGACACCTAGAGCATGTGGCACAGGACTGCATCCAAGCGGGTTTTGAAGATCTCCAGAGAAGGAGACTCCACAACCTCTCTGGG